CACAACAACACACAACAACACACACACAACAACACAAACAACACACAACAACACACCACAACACACACAAGAACACACAAGAACACACAAGAACACACAACAACACCACAACACACCACAACACACCACAACACACCACAACACACCACAACACACAACAACACACAACAACACACAACAACACACAACAACACACAACAACACACAACAACACACAACAACACACAACAACACACAACAACACACCACAACACACCACAACAACAACAACACCATCAACAGCAGCAGCAACAACAGCAACAACAACAGCAACAACAACAACAACACGAACACGAACAATACCAACACCAACAACACGACCAACAACACCAACACCACCAACAAACCCAACCACACCAACAACACTAACAACACGAACAACACCAGAAACACTACCACCACCAACAACACCAACAACACCAATACCAACAACACCAACAACACCAACACCACCAGCACCACCAACACCACCAACACCACAACCTCCACCAACCCCAACCACATCGCCGAAGCCTTTCAGTCGCTTTTACCAGACTCCCCTTCATATTTTTGGAAAGAAAATGGCCGCGTCGCTTTTACCAGACTCCACTTTATGTATTTTTCCCTCCCCTCCCCCCTTCATTTTTTCTTCGGTTCCTTTCTTGCTTACCTACCTTTCGTGTTCCCCCTCTCAAGTAATACATACACACATACAGCATACCACATAGTATTCTGCCATAGGTGGAACCAGCCTTGCAGATCGTGATTGAGACGATGGCCAAGACTTCGCCAGGTCGTATGGATGCCATGCCATTGCCATTTTTGTTTCCCGGGGATGAATCAAAATGGGTCAAAACTTTGAATTACCATTTAAAATCTACATAAATGTCATAAAAGTACATTAAATAAATTTAAATACTATATTGGAAGATATTGGAAGGGATGAATATCCAATAAATCTCAGTTATCTTGATGTAGACATATGTAGACTATAGTAGCTACATGGTTTTGATGGGTTTTGCCACATCCCCATAGGGGGAAATGATGATACACATATGGGAGTTGCGGGTACACGGTTTTCGGGCGCCTATTCAACCCTTGTAACAAAAATATGTTAGCCCGCCTGCCAGTTGATGATTTGGCCACTTGGTCAGTGATTGCTCTATGTTGCTTATCATGAGTTGGAAACTCCTCCCTCCAACTATAGGTCACAGTCGGCACAAGAGCAACAGATCTATTTCTATTTAACCGCCTTCGGCGTGTTTCGCTGGCCACCATGGAAAGAGCTATCCTGCAAGCTACAAACAGCGCTTGCACAGGCCCAGCAAGAACATGGTTCTTGTGTCAAACATGGTGTTCGTGTAAAACACGGTTTCCGTGTAAAACAGCGCTTTGTGTAAAAGACAGTTTTGACGCAAAAACATGGTTTTTGTTCAAACCACGGTTTAAATTTAAACCAGAGCATGTGTGTAAACCAGTTTGGAACATGCCATATTTAGAAAGATTATGCGTGTAAAAGGTGTTCGGCACAAAAGCCAGTGGATCAAGTACTGGATATAAGAAGCGACGGAGCAAACCAATGACAAACACAACAAAAAAGACGGAAACACGCATCCAAATGACAGCAAGATGTGCAAAACCAAGCCTGTGTTGAGCGAGCGTGGGCAGAGTTGAGCCCAGCACAACGTAAGGAAAGATGAAGAAGAGCTAGGAGGGGGGGAGGTGGGGATTCAAGTTAGACGAGGCAAAAATCCGCGCCAAGGGGAAAGTCTAGACAAAGACAACGACAAAACAGATATATAGTACAACTGCGAACTGTTAAAATCCACAAGACACGCCGGCAGGCCGGCGGATTCATTTTTAGAAGTGCGCTACGCATACACCCAATTTTGACCCGTATCAGCAAAACCACACATCCCCAGGACCACAGAAGGAAGGACCAGAGGGGGAAGAGGCTGAGCCCGTGCCTGTAACGGAGCCTGCCCCAGGGACAGGGAAATTTATAATTCGGAGCAGTGTCACTGGATGAACAGATGCTTTGCAGATTGGGGATCAACTTGGATCAACTTGGAACTTGGATTAAGGCAGCTCATTTCCTCTTGGATCTCCTGGCCCACTTGAGGGATTGCAAGGCGCGGCCTGAGTCAGTCACAAAGGGTGAATCCATTGTGCGAATCATGGCAATCCAGCTGCAGGAGAAAGAGGAAGCGCCAGGAAACCTAGTAGTTTACTTGGCCAGGTCCCAACTTTATCGGCTTTCCCTTGCGGATGGAAGAAACGAAGACAAACCCATCTCCAATGGTACTTCACTGCATGAGACTTTGATTTGTGCAATTTGGTGCAAAGATAGTAGGTACATCAACCATTCGGATGGTTAAATCCCAAGGTTTTTGGTGTGTTTGATGGTTAAATCACATTTTTTCCCATGTTTGATGCTTCAAAGTCGTTGATTGCTGCTCTGCTCAGGAAGCTCTTGTCCTGATGCGCCTGACAAAGCTTCAGATGGTGCAGAAGAGTTTCAAATGGGTTTGTCTGAGAATGGGGCACCCTCCATCTTCAATAGAAATATATAGAAATATACTATAATGTTTCCATCATATGATATATTTTATATATACTGTATATATATAGTCATTAAACAATAGCATGAATGATATGTTGTTCGCATGCTTTCCTAGTGAACATCGCAGCATTGGATCATGACGATCCAGTGATCCCAATGATCCTGATCGTCGGATCAGCTAAGCTGATCACATGCGACCGAGAACTGGAATCGATCTGGGTGAAAACGATGAGTTATTCCTATGAAATGGCAATTTTTTCACATAATTCAACTATATATTATGTATATATATACATATATATATTATATATATATATATTCATGGGCGGATATTGAAGTCATCGATTCACTACCTTGATTCTTCCATCTGGTGTCAGCTTGGTCGTGCGGAACATCCATCTCCATCGCAGAAAATCCATTGAGCAAATCCATTGAGCAATACACAAAAGCAGGTATACTGTGGTTGGCTCACTGGTATTGCTCAATGGATTTATCATGTGATTTATCATTCGAAACACCATGAAAACCTCACCATGACGCTGGCATACTCTGGTTGGCTCAAGCTTGGCGATTGGGCGGCCCGGCTGGAGCTGGGTTTTCGTGGAGGCTGGTTGAGGAATCATTGTGCTCATGGAGAAAAGACGAAAATGGCCAAGACAAAAAACAAACAACACGTGACAATATTGATAATGCGAAGAATGATGGTGATGGCGATGATGAGGATGAGGATGATTATGATATATTATGATGATGATGATGATGATGATGATGATTATGATGATGATGATGATGATTATGATGATGATGGTGGTGGTGGTGGTGGTGGTGATGGTAGTGATGGTGGTGATGGTGGTGATGGTGATGGTGGTGATGGTGGTGATGGTGATAGTGAAGATCATGAAGGAGAAGATGATGAAGAAGAAGATGATCATAATGATCAGGAGGAGGAGGAGGAGGACGACGAGGACGACGACGACGACGACGACGAGGAGGACGAAACGATTATTGAGTTATTGATGTTATGGTTAATATTACTTGTATTGTTATTGTTGTAGTTATTGCTTTTGTGATGACTATCATCGTTACTGTTGTCATTGTTTCTGTGATTGTTATTATATATATATTATATTCATATTGCCTTCACCACAACAATCATAATCACGGCAGCTGTGGTAGTTTTTTTTTGGCAGTTCAAGGTATACAGTATACATCAGATTACATTGTGGCTGTGGCTCAAGTTCCCAGTAGGGCCAGGTTCTGTCGACGATCTCAGGATGTTCGCTTGCCTTGCCTCCGCAGATCTGGCACTTTCGCACTGCGCGACGGCGCTGGAATCCCAGGGTACTGAAGGAATCGCGTCCTTCACAGTGGCGGTGCCAACAAAGAACTTTGACACCTTGGGCCTGCTACTGGAATTGACAGAAACCAGAGCACCTACGGTTTTGGGAATGGAGGAAGGAGCCATCCAGGAATTCAACAAGGTCTACACGGCTTCAGGCATACGTCCCTTCGATGTTTTGCTGGCTCTTGATGGAACCCAAAATTGGGAAACCATGCAGAAAAAGATGACCAGCAAATTGCCTGACAAGATGTTTTTGACCTTCAACCGTCCCAGAAAGATTCAAGTTGTTGTGGAAGAGACCCATGACATCGGTGACATGGGCATGACTCTGGCTTACACCGACAAATCTGTTGGAGTCGTGATTCAAGAGCTCAATGACTCTGGGCGGATGGCGAAGTGGAACACCAAACGGAAGAACCATGGCCACGATGCCATTGAGGTGATGGATCGCATCATTGAATTTGATGGGGAAGCTTACTGCGGAACGGACTTGGCCAAGCTCCTGGAGGAGAAGAAGATTTGGCGCCTCACAGTGCTGAAGTACGCCCAGGGTGAGATTCCTGTTTTGGAGGGTCTGAGTCGTGGAGGCTTCTGCTGAGTCGTGAGGCATTTGGCGGGCCTTTTTGTTCTTGCACTCGCCTAGCTAGGTAGTCTTGACATGTCTTGACATACTTTTAGACTGGTGTTCTTCATTCAGAGAAGTTTGCGCTAGTTACATAATATGTCCTAGAATCATCTGACAGCAACACCCACTGTCTAACATGGAATTGATGGTGGAGAAACTTTGGCTTCCTGTGACAGTCTCGGCCGAGTCTGCAGACCGCAGATGTTGTGCAGAGATTTGAAGGGACTCCTAGGTGCTTCACTCTTGTCGTTTGTACTGCGGTACCGAAGCACCGCAAGAAATCCCATATCGTGTGTTTTTTTACACGTACATGGCAGTCATTGCAAAACTGCAACGGTTTCCGCGTTTTGCCGACTTGAATTTGGCCGACGACCAAAAAAGTCCAAAAAACATGCCCGAACTGCAGCGAAGTCATGCAAAACTTGCCCCATCACGGGTCATAGTTTTCCTGGCTCAGCCGGCAAGTGGCAGCAGTGCTCAAATTGGTGCAGGTGTATTTCAGCGGAGCTATGGTCGCCCTGGCTAGACTTGCATCCAAGTTGATGAGAATCCACGGTTTTCCCATGGATACAACAATGTCCATTAAAATCCATTAAACCCATAAGAAATCCGAAAACGCCCTCAGTAGCCATGAACCAACAGGGTATTGCCCATGAGTTGCTGTTGTTTTCTCTTGGTGGCATTGCATCACACCTCTCACTTGGAAGGCCATGCTTTGGGTTGACAAACATCGACCGAAGACCCTGGCACAGGCTGGTAACACCCACAGGATGATGCCTGAAGTCGTTAGCAAAGGCTGAACCGTTGATTCGAAAGTGAAAGATCTATATATATATATAATATATATATAATATATATATAATATATATATATATATTATATATAGACTTAGTTTGCATCGGAAATTTGCAGCCAGTTGGACTACCACCAAGATCTCAGCGAGAGACTTGGTCGCGTGGCACGCAGTGGGTTCGGGGTACTCAGTGATGTCCTGCCCAGCGCATTGGGTGTTTCCAAAAGTGGAGGATAAGTTGATATAAGATGCAAGAAATCAAATGAAACAGTTGGAAACATCCACCAAAGGACACCAAATGTGTTTTCATCTTTCTGCATCACCAGTGAACCCACCGGCGCTCAGAGAGATGCCTCACATTCTTATGTGTGGGCCCAGTGGTGCTGGGAAAACCACACGCACCTCGGCGGCCATGGTACCCTATTTCCGGACCCCCTTGACGGAGAAGTAAACGGTATCTTGTTGCAGTGTAATATGGCTTGTTGACAATCATCACATCTGGGATATTTTGGTAGAAAAATAAGAACCAAAGTGGACTCACGTTGATTTTCTTTTCTACCAACTGGTGGTCCAATGTGCACTAGTTGAACTGCGCTCAATGCCTGAGGTGTACATGCCCTTCTTAGAGAAATCTATGGTGCTGGTGTGGAGACTGTGAAGGTGAGTCACAAGGATCTTCACAGTGAGGGCTCAAAATCATCAAGCCCAATGGGTCGAACCGTAAGCTTTAACACTGAACATCACTCAGCTAGATCCATATTTGCATCCTGATGTGGATCCAAATAATTCATGTGAATTCCCCAAAACCTGATATGTTTCATTCATCCAAATGGATCCTTAAATTGATAGGTTAAACCATAGGGTTTTCCAGTGGGTTTCATGCCAAAAATCAGCAGGTGGAGACCAAGTCCGTGGCTCCGAATCCAAGCAATCCATCGAATACCGTGGATATTCAGGTGGGAGATGCAGGTGAAACATATGAAAACAGACATGGGGAAAACTGAGGAAGACGGCAAACCTAGGAAAAACAGAAAGTTGACACCTCCAGTTTTCATATTTTTGGCTGGTAAATCCGGTGTTTTGCTGAAATCCATTCATTATTCATGTTTTCAGCTGGTGGAAGACTGGGCTTTTCGCGAAGTGATGTCAAACATGTTGAAGGTGCCCTGATTGGAATGGGGAATGGGTCGAGGTGGTGACTTCGAACCACCACCTCCAAGTGACACCCTCTGACCTGGGCCGGAAGGACATGGGACGATTATGGACGATGCACGGGATTGGTCTCTTTTTATTGGCTTCCAACTGATCCAACCTCCGAGGTTTCTATCTGATATGTTTATATATATAATATATATATATCATTATTTTCAGTGTTTTTCCACATTAAAATGGCCATCAAGTGGTTTATCTCCAAAAAAAAATATATGACAGACTCGCCAGACCCAGTGGAAGCTGCAGGACAGGGCAGTGGTGATGCAACTCATCAAAGAAGTGGCTCCCTCAGGATGTCATCAGGGATGGTTGAGACATGAGCAGCTGACAGAAGCTGCAAGATCTGCAAGGTGGCATCTCATCCTCCCCTTGGTGGCCATTCTTTCAAGGCTTGAGACGAGATGTCTAAGTCCTTTAGAAACTTTAGTCCTTGTCAGGAAGGCCACTTCTGCATTTGGCCTCGCTGTTGTGCTACTCTGGTTGGTTGGTTTCCTTGTTTTCAAGATAGCGAGCTGGCAGCTTGACAGCTTGGCAGGTCGTTGTCATCGAGGAAGCTGGGGCTTTGTCCTCTGAAGCCCAGGTGCAGAAACGGCGCAACTGCTCCGAATGTAGCAAGGGAGTCATGGGTAAAGTTGCACAGATGTTTGGAATTGTTTGGAAAGACTGTTGCCCTGGAAATCTTCCTGTAATCTTCCTGTACTAGGAAGTTCTATTCCATCAGACAAACAGCACCAGCACTGCGCAGTCGACGCCCATGGCTGGGTCAAGATTTCGGACCATGGCTGGAAAATCCACCGTTTGGTTCCACGTTTTTCGGGATTTTCCAGCCATGTTTGACGACCCAAAATATGTCGCTGCTGCCTTTCTTGGAATAAAACAAGAGGCAGCACTGAGAAGAACGATGGAACGCTACATGAAGGCCAGGGACCCTGCTATTCATGATGGTA